TCCGAGACCCGACGTTCGCCTGCCGGAAGCGCGCCTCGAGCTCTCGCCGAGGCAGCGGAGCTTCCGCGAGCTTCCCGTCGTAATTAGACGCGAGCGAGCGAGCGCGCGGCGAAGCCGAGATGGCAGCGACTGGCAAATAACGGGATTATTGCACGCGGGAGCTTTCGCCGTGCGAAGCTCGTTTGCTCGAGGCGGCTCCGCGTCCCTCTCCTCGCACGCCGCGGCTTCTTCCTCATTGAGGAGAACAACGAAGAAGAAGGCGTCGACGCTCGATCAGCTGCTCGCTTTCTCCTCGAGCCACCCTCGTGACCTACTTCCCAACGCCGGCGTCGTTAGCGCGCGAATTTTCGTCGCTGCCCCGTGCGATTCGCCGCATCGACGCCTTGCCCGCCGACACTGCTGCATGCACAGTCGCGATCATGCTTCCTCGATCTCGGCGTTAATGATCGTCGCGTGACTTGTCGTTCCTTCGTCAAGTCCGCGCTTCCTATTAAAAACGAGACAACAGCGCACGCTCGGAATATTTCCAATGTGCGGCGTAGGCGTGAGACTCGCTAAACTCGTAGTCTCTTCCACTTTTGCGGGGCTTTTGACAAAGCTGCTCGCTCACACGGTGGGATCTCCCGAACGCTTCTGCGGGAGTGACGTGCACCCGCGCGCCCTCGCTGTAACCCGTCGTACCGGTGCGCTATCTGCCTCGGCGAAATTTCTCTCCCGAGAACGTCGACAGTTCGGGAAACGTGTTTTTCGAGCGGGAGAGGCGACAATCGAATGACGTTGTAGAGGGCACGAAGTTTGGCCGGGGCTGCGAAGGGAAAATCGATGCTGCGAGAGCGACCGGCATCTCGTATTCCCAAGTTCACCGAGCGAACGCTTCTTTCGCGCGGACTCGATTCAATTGGCAAGAACTGCGTGCAAGCACAGCGGACGGAGTGATGTACGAAAGGCTCGGCGTCCCGCGTGCACCCGACAGCCGGAGCGATAAATAATCCGCGTCCTCGCTAGGTAAAGCCTAAATCAAGCTGGATTTAAGAAGAAAGGGCGCAGTGAATTCATCGCCCACGCTGACGACAGTGTTGCCTTAGTGGCCTTGAGCATTTTTCTTCTTTTTCGACGCCGATCACTCCTGCTCGCCTGCCTCCGGGCCTTTAATCACGGAAGCTGCGATCAAAAATGCAGTTCTATCCTTGCGATCGACATTTAATAAAGCTCCGCCGCGAGTCCTCTCGGGTCAGCCATTGCTTGGCGAGAAGTGCGCGATTGCAAGCTGAAGGCTGGACCGACGTCGCGCTCTCGCTCGTCTTAATCGAGTGTCATTAGAGCGCGCGCGAGATCGTTCTCGATGAGTCGACCGAGAGCCGCCAGCTCGCGCCAGTCAGCTTCGCTTTCGGCCGAACGTAGTTCTGGCATGGGACGAATCGAGGCGCACTTGCTCGTTGCAGGGAGCCGCAGTAGCTGCGCGGCAGCTGCCAACGATGAGGCCGTGAGCGGTTACTTTCGTTATCCCGGCGGCGCGCGCGAAACGCGTTATTGCGCGACTCGCTGCTGGTGTGGTATGCGAGGCACAAAAGCAGTCGATTAATTAATCCGGACGTCGGCAGATGGGTAAACGGAGGCGAGATCCAGAGCGAGCGAGGGAGAGCGTTGATGGAATCTCCGCTCGTCGCGCGTCAAGATTCCTAGCGGCGAGGCAGTGCGCGACGCGCCTCTCGCTCCGGACGCGTGGCGATGCGCGCGAGCGGCCAGCGCCCAAACGCCGCTGACTCGTCGCGCCCCCCCGATGCTCTTGCGCGACGGAGACCCCGAGGGCCGATTGACGACACGCGGAAGAGCGGACAGACGCGGTCTCGGACGCTCCTTCTTTCCGCCTGCGCTTTTGCGTTTGCTCGCTCTTTGTCTTTCGAGTCGCGTGGCTTCTCGGTACTGCGCCGTCGGGGCGCGCGAAAGAAACAGCCGAGAGACGGGAAACTCGCGGCGAAATCGCGTATGAGAGTGTCGCGCGTGGCCGGAGAAGGATCTTCCGGAAGGAGCTGGCCGATATAGTGCCGGCGCACCGGTTCGCGCAATCGATCGCCGATGTAACCCGAGTACGTGCGTTCACGGGCACACTGCCGTGAGCTTTTTTCTCTTCTTACTCGCGCGCGACTGCTGCTTTTTCTTTTTTACGGACTGGCACGCGACGCCGATGAGTTCGCTCGTGTTTTCTCGCGCGGAGGGCTTTCCTTCGCCAGCGATTGCGTAACGTTTGCGATCTGCCCATACTCGTAGAACTTGCCGTAGAATTTTTCTTAATTATTCCAACGAAAGTTGAACTACAGAGGAACGGGCAGACTCGAGTGCGGAACCTCGTAAAACAAAGGTGCGGCGGTCGGGCGAATCCGAGTGAGCCGATACGACCTGATGTAATAGCGAATTCGGTTGGAACATCAACTTGAAAACTCAATATGTAGCCGGACTGAATTTCCGTATATAGTGGTTTTCTTTCCTTTTTTTTCCGTTACGTTGACTCGATCTGGCTTAAAACTACGTGGATTGAAATTTGGCAAACTATCAGCGGGCGCGGCAACGTTTCCGATGGTAGCGAACATTATGAGAACCAAAATAAAAAATGTCGGTGCTAAAATTAGTCATATTTGATATTGTTAATTGGCAGCGCAACGTTCATTTTTCGCTGTCATCGTGAATCCGACGAAGCATTTGCTGATCGCCAACTTGCGATTCTCGCGATTGCCATTACGGCTCTCGTAAAGAACGGCGAGCGTCCATCAAAGAGTCCTCGGCGCACTCGGATAAAGCATTATCAAAGAGCTTCTCGAAGCTTTGGCAAGCTTCTGTCGCTGAAAATGACGTTAGTGAGGCGCACGCGTGCCAACGCGGTCTTCTGCGCGTCGGGGATGCAGCGGCGAAGAGTTTATTTCGAGACGCCTTCTGGCCGCGCAGCGTCACGCGAATCTCGCGGCTGTTTTCGCGTGACACAAGAGAGAGAGAGAGGAAGAGAGAGGAGCTTGCACAGCCAAGTGCATCATTATTTTTGCAACTTCGCCCGTCGCCGAAACTAGACACTCGACCGCTCGCGCGCGCTTTCCAGGAGCCGCTCGTGAATACATCTAAGCGTCCGGAACTGTGTCGCCAACTTTTCATAAGTGTCGGGCGTATCCTCGAGTCATGTCAACTGTCCGATCGGTGTCCCGCGCGCGCGAGAACGATATTGCCGGTCGATGTGTGTCGATCGACGCGGAGATATACTGGCTCTCACCGCGAGCGCCACTAATAGCACCGGATCCTTATCAGATTCCTCTCTCCGATATTCGTTGACTTTGCATTGTCATGCTCAAATGTAAACCAAGAGCGAGCACGATAGGCTGGAGTGGGTTTGATGAGTAGAAGCTAAATATTTTCTCACGAATTCATGGGCTGGAGTAGTGCATTCCGCGTGAAATCGACGCGTGCTCCTTTGAACATTATTGAAACGCCAGCGCCTTTCAAGCGTTATTTCGTTGGCCGGAAATTTCACTCTCGAACATTCGCGGCTCGTTAAAGAATTCAGCTCTCTCACAAAAAATAGAAAAAAAAATTGGCTCACCAGCGAGCTACACAAAGGGTCCTCTCTCTCTCTCGCAACGAGTGTCGCGTTGTAATTAACTTGGGCTCCGTAGGAAATGGCTTTTGCTGGGGCATATCTTTGCTCTCTCCGTCTGTCGCTCTGGTCGAGACAGATTGTGCTCTCCAAGTAGTCAAGGTCGCTGTTTGGCGCAACCGCGCGCGCACGGCTAACCAATTAGTTTCCGGCATGGGCTTTGTCATTATAGATTGTCCGCTGATCTCCGGCGGACAGAAGTGGAGCGAAACCACTTTCCGAAGCTTCGGGCCGCCGCTCGGCAACTCGTCGCACTGTCGTCGCGCGCGGAACGGGAGTCCGTGGCCCGGGCTATTTTTGATAGGGGACGAGAAGAGGGCGCGCACTCGCGAATCCGACGGCCGTGAGAAAGCTCTCGTTCGCGATTTCACTGACGAGTCGTCGCTCGCTCGAGCACCGCGGAACGCGACCAATATTCAAGGCGTGTGGGCCGTCGCTGAAAAATGAGAGTCACGCTCGCGTCGTTAAAAGTTGCACGGTCCGGCAGGAAGGAAGTCGCGTCGCGCTTCTGCCGTCGCTGCCTTTCGGAGAGGACGACGTCTGGCGACTCGGCGATCAGAAGAGCGTGCGAGCGTCGCCGTAGCAAATTTGCGCGCGGCTGCGGTGCACGTACACTCGAGCGCGCGCAAAGGTCAATGTCTGCCCAGCGGCGCCGTACATCGCCAAGTCCGAATCATCGCCTAACTCGCGTCTCTCGCGGTCCGCGAACGGAGCAACAGACGCAGGAAGAGAAATTCGCAGTCGTGACCAAAGTCGTTGCAAGCGCGGGTCGCGCGCGAGCTCGCAACTCGAACCTGGCCGAACCGAGTTTCGCCACGACGGTACCGTCCAACGAGGCACGGCTCCCGTCCGGTTGGACGCGAGCTTCGCTCGGGTCGCATTCTCGGAGCTTGCATCGCGCCCGCCGAAGGGCGCCGATCAACCGGCCCCGATTCCTCGGCGCTGGGGCGTGGATGTCCCCGCGGACGCTCGTCCCTGTTTTCCGCCCCCGTCAGCATCGAGAGCTCGCTGCGTGGCTCGCAGCCCAGTGGCACCGATCTCGCGCGCTCTCTCAGCGGTGCTCGACGTCCGCAAGGCCAGCTGCAGCCGCCCGCGCCGGCGGGACTTGGTTGCCGGTAGCGGTCGCGCGTCGGCCGGGCGCTGCTCCCCAGAGCCCAGCGGGCTCGAGTTCTGGCGGTCCGAGCGGTCGGCGCGCGTCCGCGGCGAGCAGCGGAAAGTTTGCACGCACACACGGGCAGAGGGGGCGAGCGAGGCGAGCGAGCGCGCTCGGAGCTTGCGCACGTGCGCGGCCCACTTGGCACACGGCCGAGCGAGGCGACGTCGGCTAGCAGAAGGCCGCGCTTGCGCCCGAGGCTCGCCGTCGCGTCGGCGTAGGGGAGTGCTCTCGTGGCCCGAGCGTTACTCTGGCCGGGAGTGGGGGCCGCGCTTCGGCGTCGCGTCCGTGCGTGTGTGAGTGCGCGAGCGGGTCGATGATGCCGGCGCTGCCGCCGTCCGACTCAGCAGCAGCAGCAGCAGCAGACTCGGGAGTGCGAGCGCGCAGTTGTCAGTCTCTGGCCCAACGCTCGTTCGCCGCCGCCACCGTCGTCGTCGTCGCCGCCGCCGCCGCCGCCGCCGCCGCCGCCGCCGCCGCCGCTGCCGCACAGCCAGAGAGACAGTTCGTTTGATACGCATCCCCACGGACAGACCGAGGCGAGCACGACATCCCGGGAGCGAGAGAGGTGTGCGCACTCGCTCGCGTCGTTCGGCTCCGAGTGACAGTGCGTTCGATCCGCAGAGGCGCTGGCCTGAGCGCGAGCGCAGCAGCAGTCTCGCGGTACTCCGCTCGGCGTCGGCCTCTTCGAATTTGCCCCCGCACGCACGTCGGCATCAACGGCGACTTGACGCAGCGCTGCCGCCATGGCTGACGACGACAAGGTTTGTGCGAACGCGCCTTCCACCTCCTCCTCCTCCTCTCCGCGCGCCCGCGCAGGCGTGTGTGTTAGCGCGCTCGCGTGCGTGCGTGCGTGCGTGCGTGCGTGCGTGCGCGCGCGCGCGCGCGCGTGGGTGTGTCGGTGTGTGTGCGCGCGAGCGCCATCGAGGACCCGGTCCCAGTGGGCCAGCCCGCGCGCGCCTGTGCGCGCCAGCCACGGGAAAGGAAGGAGCGCGCCGTCCCAGGCGAGGAGCGACTCGGTGCCCGAGCGGCGGCGCCCTCTTGCGCCCCGCGACCACCATTTTCCGCCACCCCCTCGGGCAAGCTGGCTTCCGAATTTTGCGCGCTCGCCGTGTGCGCGGCTACGCTTGCGGGCTTCCCGACTGGTTTTTCCGGCTGGCGGGCAGGAGCGCCGATCGCCGCTCGCCCGCGAGGTGTCGGCGAACGGGAGCGTCTTCTCCGGCGGCGGCGAAGACGGCGAGGGGGAGAGATGCATGCCTCGTCCCGCAATCGATCGATCACGTGACGGCGGAGCGGGGGTTGCGCGTGCCACGGCAACGATTGATTGTAGATTCATACAGACTCTCTCTCTCGCTCTCTCTTTCGCTATCGCCGTCTGGTCTTACGTAAGAGAAGGCAAAACTGCCCCGTCGCTCGTGTGTGCATGCGAGTGCTGAATGAAAGACTCGCGCCAGCTGCCCGCGCGTCCTTGCCATCCCTAAAGTGCCGCATTTCACAGTGAGACGGGTCTTCGCGCACCGAGGGAAGATTTCGCTCAGCACGACTCTGCGATCAGTCGGCGGGGACCACGGAGGACACGGCTCCTCGAACGGACTAGCGCAAACCCAGAGACACGCAGTGTGTCGCACGGATTTCACTTGTGTTGTTGCCCGGCGACACTCGACTGAGCGAATTTAACCGCAAACAGGGAACTCTCGTGGATCTCCAGTCATGGTAATGTCTCGCAAGCAGAGAGCAAGCAAAGCGAATCGTAGCGCTGCACCGCCACCGTAGCTGCAGTTTCATACCTGTACTTTAGACACAGCAGTTGTTGCGTAACCGTAGCCAGAGAAAGCCAGTGTTTTTCTCTTCGTTTCCCTTCTGCTCTCGACGCCGATCGCCGTCGTCTGCTAGAACCCGTTCGCCGCGAAGACGCATGCGCCGGCTGAGAGGGACAGAGAGAGAGAGAGAGAGAGAGAGAGAGAGAGAGAGAGAGAGAGAGAGCGAGAGAGAGAGAGAGCGAGAGACAGAAAGAGAGAGAGAGAGAGCAAAGCAAAAGAAATTAGAGCTCGCGTCAGCTGCAAGTACGTGATATTCCACGTATGGGTTCTGCTAGTGCGCGCTCGAGACACCATCTTTTTCGGCGGCAGGGGAAGGGGGCCGCGAGCACGTCACGCTCGTTGTCCGCGTAGCGGTGATCTGGATTTATCTGGTTTCCCGTGGGACACGGGCGTGTAGTTTTCAAGGGCTGTATTGGCTTCCTCTTCTGCTTTTTCTTCGTTTGCTCTTTGTTTCGTTCGACGAAAGCTTCTTTGTTGCGCGGCTACGCTTTGCAGAGGGGCCAAGCTTCGCAGATGCGTAAAAGTGGACTCGTCTAAGGATTGTTACATCAGCCGTGCCCCCAGCATGCCGTAGCGGTAGGCGCAAAGCGCACGGTAGAGCGAGCGACGGCGCTCGCCGAGAGCTTGCGTAAGGACGAGGGGCAACCTTGACACTCAGGATGCCCGGCGACTGCTGTCCTTTTCGCCGCGCTACGCCACGTCAACCGTTGGCCGTGTCGCGCCTGCTCTTGCACGGGAGAGGGGATTCTCCGCAGTGATGCACACGCGTGTACGTTCTCGGTTCACCGGTCCAAGGACGCGGCGTCGATTGAAAAGGTCGATTCTTTTGACGCGATCCCTCTCGGCAGGCGAAAGCCAGCGCAGAAGTGATCGCAGGCGCCCTCGCGCGCCCCTCCCGAGCCAGATTTTACCTCGCAGCTGTGCTTGCGAGGAAAAATAACGGAGGCAAGCGCGGACGCGAGCGCACAAAAATAGTCGCGTAATCGACGGATGCGTGGACGCGCGCGCCAAGCGCACCCCTCGCTCGGCTCCGGCCGCCTAACGAAGGCAGGTTAATTAGTCGCGCGCTCGTTACGAAATGCTCGGCGCCGCCGCTGCGACAAAAACGAGTCGCGGAGGAGGCTCGCAATGTCAAAGTCATCCGGCCTGGCCGCCGAGTCGTTCGCCCGCCACTCGCGAGAAGAAGCAGCATCGCGATGGCATTTCTCGGCCGGGCGAAAATAAAGGAGGCCGCGGCTGAAACAACGGACAGGGAAAAAGGCGGTCGGGGCGAGAGAGAGAGAAAGAGAGAGAGAGAGCGAGCGAGCGAGCGAGCGAGCGAGACTTGGTAACAGGCAGTGCTAAGGGCTGGCGAACTAGATGGCGCCCAAGGCGGGGGCTCGCACTCGCGGCGCGGAGTCGAGAGCAGCGGCGGCGGTTCTGGGGCGCTTATCGATCGCAACCTATTTATAATTCATCTGGCATTTCGATTCGTCCGATAACGCGCCGCCGCCTGCACGTCCACGTAGCTCTCGGCGCGTCGACGGAGAGCCCGACCGCGGGCCCCGCAGCCCAGGCGGCTCGTCCGCCTCGGCGTCCGCGCGCCCCAGCGGGACAGCGCCCGCGCGCGGCCGATCGATCCGCTGGCGCGGCCCAGCGCCCGAAAGTCGACTCTCGCGCGGCGGAGAGCACGTGGTGGCGAGACGAAGAAAGCGACGTTCGCGTCGCTCGCGAGCGCGCAGAGTGCAGCCGATCGATGCGCGCGGCCCAGTCACGCGACGCAGCCTCGGCCATGCGATCCCCGTGGAAATGGGCGCGCTGATGCTCTCGTCTTTGTCCGCGCGGGGGAATGCTCGGTCTGGCGGCGCCAACCCCGTCGACGAGAATACGCGAGTCGCAGGCCGCCTCGCGCCTCGTTTCCGCGCCCGGAATCGATTTCGCTCGAGAGAGCTCGCGCCGCGGCGGATCGTCGCGAGCTCGACTACACAGCGGACTGTGGCCGCACCGAACTACGCCCGAGGAGGAGTTCCAGGGTGCGCGCACGCACGGCAAATCCGCTCTCTTTCTCTTGGTTTAATTGCCACCTTCAAAGACTTCGGTGCTTAGGGGGCAGCGATGGGTCTTCGGTTGCACCAACGCCGCCCCCCCCCCCTCCCCCGTCCCACCCAGCCTCTTTATCCCCTTCCGCGCGGTCGCTGAACCCGCTTTCCCTCCGCGTCGCGCGCACCGTCGCGATCGACGACTCGCCGCTCGCGTTGTCCGACGCGCGAATCTCTCGCTGGGTTTTCGCGCAGGAGCAGGTGGCGCGGCTAGGAGCGCGCGCGACTGCCGCGGGCGCGACCGATGAGAGATGGATCGGCGCGAAACCGGCGCGGTCCGGCTCGTCCACGACTGCCTCGCGTTCGCGGCCTTCGCTCGAGCACGCGCCAGGCCATTAGCGCGCGCGAAGACCGACTGCCAATTGGTGGCTTTCCTGCTCGGTGCGCGCCAGAACTGTCGCGGGCTTTGTCTCGCGCTGCCCGTCAGCTCCGCCTCGTCGAGCCCCGGCTTTTCCGTGATTCGCCGCTCGACGCCGCAGATCGTCGGCGATCCCTCAAGGACGCGTCTTCCCGTTTGGCGGCGCGCATCGGACACGTGTCGCCGAGTGACGTCAACGCCTCTGCCATTTTGCCTCGCTCGCGCTCTCCGCGAGATCCGAGTTGGCCAATCGCGTCCAATGTCCGTGCCGTCTCATTGCGAGTTTCCCTCGGCGGTCAATTTCGCGCACTACCGCAGTAACACGCAAGTTTGTCTTTCTTCTCCTCCGAGTGATCTGAAAATTGGCAATTCTCGAGCCTCGGCGTCGTCGTGTTTTGCGCGTTTACGTGTTCATTGGAATTAACGCTGTCTTTGCCAAGGCGACAGTGCTCGAGCCTGCCCCACGATCGATGCTCTCTGATAAATCTGAATCCAGCGATACGCACGCGAGCGCGTAGCGTCGCTCTTCTGCTCATTGCCGAATCGGCGCCGCCAATTTTCCGCACGACTCCGCTGTCTACCTATCGCGGAACACGCGCTGTCTCCCGTGCATCCGTCGAATCAATAATCCAGCTGAAAGAGGGAAAAGAAAAGCAAACGAGTTGGCGCGCTCTGTAGTTTTCAGGACCGCAGCCGCAGCGGGATCGAATAGGTCCACTTTGCGCTCGCGACGCGCGAGAGTGAGAGAACGAGAGTCGCCACCCCAGAGCCCAAGGAAGGGAGAGGTGGTCCGCCGTGATTTATACGTCCAAATATCGAGCGCTACACGTGCGTCATCGACCCCCTGTGCTCGGTCGAGCGGGCTCTCTTTGTTCGCGCGACGAGCAGCGACGCGGCGATCGGGCAACTCTCGCGGCTGCTGTAACCAAAGCGCGAATCAAAGCGCGAAAGTGCAGAGACGATGCCTGCCCGGCGTGATCTTCGCTCGCGCGCCCGGTCGACCTCTCCCCCTTGACCCGATTCCCGCATCTCCGAGCCTCTTCTCTCTGTTGGCGGCCGCTGAACGAACGAGCAAAGTCGACGAACGCGCCGCGTGCGACAGGCTCGCCCGGCTCTGGGCACTCGCTTCTTTCGCCATCGGCTGCTTATTCAATTTGCGGTTACGGACGCGCGCCCCGTCGCCGGAACGTCGCTTCGACTGATCGATCCGTTACGCGACGTTCGATTCGCCAGCGGGGCGCGTCTTTGGGCTTCGCCAATTCACGGCTGTACTTCGCTGCGCTCGCGATAATAAGCCATGACGTTGTTTTATCGATTTCGCTCTATAAAAAGTAATCGCCGTAAATAGCGCGCGGCTATAACGGACGCCGCCCCGTGCGCATTACCGATTGCCATATATCTCGCACGACATTACGCCAAGAAAGGCATTTCGCGCTTCGAGTGCTCGCGGCAAATACTCGTGGCTGCTACCGATGACTTTAAAGCTGCTTTCTCTCTCTCCCTCTCTCTCGCTCTCTCCTTTCCGAGAGCTGTAAAACTCTCCGATGGTAAGCCTGTACTCGCGCTTTTCACCTGATAACCCATCCTCCTCACCGCGAAAAGTTTATCCCCGCGTATATTTGGCGGCCAAAGTGGCTAGCTGCTAATTGCCGCACGTATGACATTCGTCAAAACAGCGATAAACTGGTCCGCTGACAAAGTCGACTCGGAAAGTGTACGCGCGCGCGGACACGCTCGTCTCGGCAGTTCGGCGCCGTGAAATTTTCATGGGGAGCAATTGGGGCAGGCGAGTTGAATAGTGTTCTCTATGATACGCGACAGCGAGTCGCCACTGAAGAGAGAGGGAGAGAGCCCCTTTTTCCCTCCTCTCTGCCGCCCCCGTCGACGGCGACGACGACGACGACGACGACGACGACGACGATGACGGTGACTGCCTGGTTGCGCTAACCGCTACTGTATTGATCGTCGCACGCGCTTTCTGCGCTCGCGCATCCCTCTCTGTGCAGGCGAAACTCGAGCCGCCGCGGCTGCTCTCCTCCCGAGATCAATGCTCATTCATGGCTTTCGCCGACCGGCTGCGCGTGCGATTTGTATCTTTCGTCGCCTCGTGTCGTTCGCGAAAGTAGGGTGGCCGTTGGCGCCCCCCCCCCTGTAATTATCGAACAAGCTCGCGCGAGCAGCAGAGTCAAGCGTTACATCGACTCGGGTAGGGGGTTGGGTTTATAAATAGGCGCGTTTCGTTGTGGCTCGCGAGCGTCCGTCGCACGTGACCCATCGGCGTTCGCCCGCACTGCCAACTTGCAGAGCCTCGCCGTTAACGAACGGACGGCGGTCACACACCCGGGCGGAATTGCATTCGCGCAGAGTGGAAGCTTTTCAGCCCCCACTTCGCGTGCTTGGCGCGAGCTCTGTCCTCTCTTCACCTATCGTTTTTTTCTCACAATTTCGCTCTTGTCCGTCGCTGTAATTCGATTAAATGCCGCTCGGCGGCAGCGGATCACACAGAAACGCGCGGCTTTGCTTCTTTTTGTCGTGGTCGTCGCTGGATCGATATCCTCGCATGCAACCTCTCTCTCTCTCTCGGCACTTTGAAAGACAATGGCCTGTGCACCTCCGGAGAGGGTATTATACTGCACTGGCTAATTATATATATTCGCGAAAGCACTAGCACTCCGTGATTTCCCTCGTTTTTCTTTGCTTTCTTTTTTCATCGGAGGCAAGAAAACGAGGTTTGCGATTATGGAAATAGCACTCGAGAATTTTCGACGCTGATATCGCGTTTTCGTTTGGTTAACTCGCGGAAATCGTTCGGGCGAATGGCACTGCGCAGATCGATCGTGAGCACACCTCTTGGCCGTTGCATCCAGCCGAAATGCCCCGCGATCGTCCACTCGGATTCGAATTTGAACGTAAGGCCCAGGTCTACGTACAGATTCATACAATACGCTAGTTTGCCGAGTTTTCCTCGCGGAGCTACGTAATCCCATCCCCCGGAATAACGAATGTTCGCGCGCGCGCCTGCGTCACAGCTTCCGCGTGTCTTGCGACTGTTAATGACGGTCCTCGTCTCTCGTTTCGCCCTCTGCGAGTTTCACGTCCCAATTCCCGGGATGAGCGTCTTGTCATTAGCGCCTCTCTCTCTCTCTCTCTCTCGCTCTCTCGATCGAATGGCCGACTTTCGAGCTGGTAATCGATTACGTAAGCAAACGAGCGCCTTAGCAATGCGCGGCAACGACGAGAGGTGGTTGCACCGGGTTCGAGCACGAAAAGAGTGGCGTACGCACGCTTCTGTCCAAGCAAGTTGTGTTTTCCGGCGCACCACACCTAGTCGCTCGTCGAGACAGGGGTGCGGCTATCTCGCGGTCCGTTTTCAGGGGGCCGAGTTTCAGCGTAATTAGCTTGTCCACGCAAATCGATCGAGAGATCGCGCCTTTCTTTCGCGCGTCGGTCTGCGTTACGACTTGTCACTGGCAACGAGGAACGAGGAGAAAAGCAAGACGCGCTCGCGTGCGCGTCGCTCGGTCGGAAATTGAACATTATCGCTGAAAGTTATTAAACAACGCGACGGCGGTAAGTGGTCGGCGAGGAAGAGGAGGCAATCAGTCGGAATAACGTTGCATAGCGATCGATGTGGACTATACGACTGACCGAGTTTGAGGAAAGTTTACGGCCTCGCTAAAGGGCTTACACAAGATACACTCGCAATCGAATTTGCCCTCGTTGCAGGCATCGAGGCGACCGAGCCGACCCTTTCCTTTCTTTTTTTCTTTGTTCCTCGCCTACAGCCAGCCCCGCGGCGCTCGCCCATAGACGTGTGCACACGAGCCGCGCGGCGCGCACTACATTTTTCGGCCCCCGATCGATATTCGCGGCTGGCTCTTTGCACACGCTGCACTTTGTCCGAGAAGGGAGAACCAAAACTTGTCTTCGCTCCGAAATCGACGAGTTCGTTGCGCAACCAACGAAATGTCTCTCTCTCTCTCTCTCTCTCTCTCTCTCTCTCTCTCTCTCTCTCGAAAAAAGAGCCGACGAACTAACTAGTGAGACGAGTGATTCGTCTGGACGTTACGCAATGCCGGAATCAGCGCGAAAGAAGAGGAGGGACCTTCGCGTCGATGTATATATATACACGCGTGCTTCGCCCTATGAATTGTGGCAGATAGAGAGAATTATATCCACGTGACGAATCGAGGCCTGCGGAAGCTACGACAATCAGGCTCAATGTCGCAGCCGCCGACGACGTCGGCCACGCGCGCCTCGCTGCAATGCCCCATTGTTCGACGAGAAGCTTTTGTCAGCTCCTTTTTTTTCCTTTTCGCGGGAAGGCAAGTTCGAGGTGATGATTTTTTTTTCGTTTGTTTCGCGATACGAGCTCCGTCGCACGTATCGTCGCTTCCGTGAGGGCGAAAGTTTCGACGTCATCGTCGTTATCGTCGTTCCGATTCATGTTTTTCTTCGTGCTCGTCGGTGTGCCTACGCACGCTTATTTCTAATCTATTTTTATTACACTTACACACATACACGCCTACAGACGAAACGAATTATTGTCAATTATTTTTGTTGTGTTTTTTTTTATCTGCCCTGCTCATCGTCCAACAATTTTTTTTGTCACACATTTTTCCAGCATGGCCGTTCAGATTCTTACCGGGTCGCCACGTTGCCCGGCATTCGCGACGACAACAAAACTGCTGATGGAATGTACAAGGTATAAAGCAAGCAAAGAGCGAGAAAAAGTGACGAAAAGTTTGTCGCTACACTTTGGTGATTGGTGCTATATTGTCTTTCTTTCTGTCTTTCATTCTCTCTGTACAAACTTTCAACTTTAATCGGTGACGCTCGCGTATAATCTTGCGCTCGTTCGTCTCTTCTGTCCCGCGCGAAGGAGAGAAAAACAATAGTAACGCTTCGTCGGTATGTGTAATCGAATGAACTGTCCGTACACGTACGCGATCAAAGAGGCACCCAACCTCTCGGAAGAGTTCTTCGTCATCCTTCCCCATTATTTTCCAAAGACGAACAAAGACAAGTCTCGGACGAAAAAAAAAAAGAAAAAAAACTGACTCCCCGTGTTAGTTTAACAGTTGAGCTCCATATTAATCTCAATCTGCCTCCATCCTTACTCTTCTATCTTTCCGTGCGAGCTACAATTTGTCCAGCCTCCAATCTCGCCTCGCCCACCTCCTTTACTCTCTTCTTTTTTCGCGATCTAATACAGCTCGTAGGTACTAATACTCACCTAGTTTTTCTCTACGACGTCGTTGGATCGTTTCGATGCTCAACTTTCGATGCTGCTGCGGGTGTGCTGCTCACGAGGGAAAAACTGAAAGAAAAAAAAAACGACCGTACACGATGACTCACTTTTGCATGCCATATACTTTTAAAACGCCTCACATACGTAGTGGCCAGTTGACAGTGCATGTAAACACGATATATATACTAACACGCTTTTTGTTGAAACGCTTTCCGGCAACGACAAATATCACTGGCAAAGAGGAATCGAGCACCGCGCGAATACGAAAAAGTTGTCCATATCGTCGAAGTTGTATCTTCATCGGGCAACAAACGACGCGCAACTGAGAGCCATTCATATGCGACTCGTTCTAATTAAAAGGGTTAAACGGGCTAATTCATTAACTGGCTATCCAGCGTATCGCGACGGCAACAAGATGACTAACCACTCGAACTCGCTGTCTTCGCGTCTTTCTCTCTCGCTCTCGCGAACGACCACGCACAACTGTTCTTATTGGCTCTCGGGTCTTTCGCAATTGCTCGTGGAAAGGATATTCCTGTTGTAGATACGCGGCGAGAGCTCGATTCCTGCGTAAACAAATGCCGAGACTTTTTTTTTTAATTTTTTTTCGACGGACCAACGGAAGCGATTGGACTAACGTTCGATTGGTGGTTTGCAGTCGCGGCGGAAATCCCCAAAAAGGAAGGGAGGAAATCTCGATGACCTCAAGCAGGAGTTGGTCATCGACTTTCACAAGATCTCCCCGGAAGAGCTGTACCAGAGATTTCAGACCCATCCCGAGAACGTGAGTATTGAAGCTTTTGCATTATATAGACCTGCTGCTCCTCTGCGAGCGACGTTTTTGGGTCGATTACTCGGGAGGATCGCATGCCTCGTTCGGTTGGCAGCCAGGTGCCAATGACGCATCGAACGCTGGCGCTCGTGCAATTGGATGTGAAATTAAGGCCTCGGTCGTTTGTTTGTTGGCAACCGGCATTACAGGGCCTTAGCCATGCGAAGGCGAAGGAGAATCTGGAGCGGGACGGTCCGAACGCGCTGACGCCACCGAAGCAAACGCCCGAGTGGGTGAAATTCTGCAAGAATCTGTTCGGTGGCTTCGCGCTACTGCTATGGATCGGCGCGATCCTCTGCTTCATCGCGTACTCCATTCAGGCGTCGACGAGCGAGGACCCGAACGACGACAATTTGTATCTGGGCATCGTGCTGGCCGCCGTAGTCATCGTCACCGGCATCTTCTCCTACTACCAAGAGAGCAAATCCAGCAAGATCATGGAATCGTTCAAGAACATGGTGCCGCAGTTCGCGACTGTGATTCGCGAGGGCGAGAAGATCACCGTCAAGGCCGAGGATCTGGTGCTTGGTGACGTAGTCGACGTCAAGTTCGGCGACAGGATTCCAGCCGACCTGAGGATCATCGAGTCTCGAGGCTTCAAGGTAAGCTGGTGCTCGGTTAGCGAGAGAAAGAGGTGGAACCGAGGGTGCTTGTGGGTTAAAGGTTGACAACAGCTCGCTGACGGGCGAGTCCGAGCCTCAGTCAAGGTCGCCCGAGTTCACGAACGAGAACCCGCTGGAGTCGAAGAATCTGGCGTTCTTCTCGACGAACGCCGTAGAGGGCACGGCCAAAGGTGTGGTGATTTGCTGTGGCGATCAGACGGCGATGGGCCGAATTGCCGGTTTGGCATCAGGCCTTGACACCGGAGAGACACCGATCGCCAAGGAGATCCACCACTTTATCCACTTGATCACGGGCGTGGCCGTGTTCCTCGGCGTGACATTCTTCATCATCGCCTTCATCCTCGGCTACCATTGGCTCGACGCCGTGATCTTCCTCATCGGTATCATCGTCGCCAACGTGCCCGAGGGCCTGCTCGCCACCGTGACGGTCTGCCTGACGCTCACGGCCAAGCGCATGGCGTCCAAGAATTGTCTGGTCAAGAACCTCGAGGCCGTGGAGACCCTGGGCTCCACCTCGACCATCTGCTCCGACAAGACGGGCACCCTCACGCAGAACCGCATGACAGTCGCTCACATGTGGTTCGACAACCAGATCATCGAGGCCGACACCACTGAGGACCAGTCCGGCGTACAGTACGACCGCACCTCGCCGGGCTTCAAAGCACTCGCCAAGATCGCGACCCTCTGCAATCGCGCCGAATTCAAGGCCGGCCAGGACGGTCTGCCGATCCTCAAGCGCGAGGTCGCCGGTGACGCCTCCGAGGCCGCGCTGCTCAAGTGCATGGAGCTCGCACTCGGCGACGTGATGGGCATTCGCAGGCGCAACAAGAAGGTCTGCGAGGTCCCGTTCAACTCGACCAACAAGTACCAAGTACGTATCGAGCGCGAACGGCGGACGGACCGCTGCCGATCCATTTGCTTCCTGACCGCGGCCGTTTGCGGCCTCGTCGCGCAGGTCTCCATCCACGAGAGCGAGGACTCGAGCGACCCGCGCCACCTGCTGGTGATGAAGGGCGCACCGGAGCGCATCCTCGACCGCTGCTCCACCATCTTTATCGGCGGCAAGGAGAAGGTCCTCGACGAGGAAATGAAGGAGGCCTTTAACAATGCTTATCTGGAATTGGGCGGCTTGGGCGAGCGTGTGCTCGGCTTCTGCGACTTTGTCTTGCCGTCCGACAAGTTCCCCGTTGGCTTCAAGTTCAACTGCGACGATCCTAATTTCCCCACCGAGGGACTGCGCTTCGTCGGCCTTATGTCGATGATCGATCCGCCGCGCGCGGCTGTGCCCGACGCCGTCGCCAAGTGCCGCTCGGCTGGTATCAAGGTCATCATGGTCACCGGCGATCATCCGATCACTGCCAAAGCCATTGCCAAATCCGTCGGCATCATCTCCGAGGGTAGGCTACCAAACCATTTGCTCTTCCTTTCGGTTACTTGGTGTACGAGTGTGCATTGCTTTTGATGTTGCGCGAAGGGGATGTTACGGTCACGGGTGGGCTCGCCGCATAGACTCTGCAAGTAGAGGAATGCGCGAGACTGTCCCGTTCTGACTTGTGAAATCTTAAAAGTGCCTTCTCGAAACCCTCACATCTTCTTCGCTTTATGTACGTGTATATAGGACAGCAGACGTGCGACAAAGGGAAATACACAGTAAAGAACATTAGCTACAGTTGCTTCGCTCAATTCTTAATAATCAAGCTTAACTTTCTTTCCTATGAAATCTCGTTCATAACTAGCAACGTTTTGTGCAAATTATTTGTAGCAGATTTTGTTTACTGTGTCCAACGAACAGCTTGGTTTCACGCAAACTGACTATCGTTTTCTAACTAAAAACGAGTCGCAAAAACAAACGTTACAGACAATTCCATGCCACGCAAGAGCTGCTCTCGTGAATTTTTAGGATGCTGTCCGAAATATTTGAATTTTTGTCTAACCATCTTCCTCTTTTTACCATCTGCCTTTACTGTCTGCGTATCTCTGTATTTCTGTTCACGACGATCAAATTTTCACGCACAACATACTCTCTTAACGATAATAAGCACCAAAAAAATCAATTAATAAATAATTAAATGAACACAAGGTAAACTCTCTGTCATTGTTGCCGTAGACATTAGTATCATAGTCAAAGCCTAATTTTTCTTTGAAATCTTCTGTGGAGCTTGGTGTAGCTGCCAACTCTTGGCTTTCACTTAATTAGCGCTTAGCACGCCGTGTTAGAGATAATTTATACTTGAGAAAGATCTTGAAAGTTCCTTCTCTGTGTCCATACAACTAATAACAAAGCACTTTTAGGAAAGTTACCATGGCTGAGAGTGTTTTGTAAAGTTGGTGTGTATTTAGTCGCTTGGTAGATGAGACGAGGCAAGAAGTAGAGGACGAAATTGATAACTAATTGAGTTGGCAATTGAATTCTGCTGGAAATAGGTAACGAGACCGTGGAGGACATTGCCCAGAGGCTCAACATTCCCGTGTCGGAGGTGAATCCCCGCGAGGCCAAGGCCGCCGTAGTTCACGGTACCGAGCTCAGGGAGTTGGACTCCAGCGCGCTGGATGACATTCTTAGGTACCACACCGAAATTGTGTTCGCCCGCACGTCGCCTCAGCAGAAGCTCATCATCGTCGAGGGTTGCCAGAGAATGGGTGCCATTGTCGCTGTTACTGGTAAGCAAACGGAAAAATTTTCGAAAATTTGCATTACGAAGAAACGTGATTTCATTCGTTTTGTTTTGACTATTAGGCGACGGTGTGAACGACTCCCCAGCTTTGAAGAAGGCTGATATCGGTGTTGCAATGGGTATCGCCGGTTCGGACGTGTCGAAACAGGCCGCCGACATGATTCTCCTCGACGATAATTTCGCCTCGATTGTCACTGGTGTTGAGGAAGGACGTCTTATCTTCGATAATCTCAAGAAGTCCATCGCCTACACCCTCACTTCCAACATCCCTGAGATCTCGCCGTTTTTGGCTTTCATCCTATGTGACATTCCTCTGCCACTTGGCACTGTCACCATTCTTTGCATTGATTTGGGAACTGACATGGTAAGTCAACGCTTAGTATTCTATTTCGATAATACTATAATCCTTATGATCAGATTTATGTCAAAAAAAAATAGCATTGCTATGTGATTGTTTAGTATCGGTCGACGTTGCTTTATTATAAAAGAAGAGCATTAACATTTTATTTAGGGATAATGGTTCTTATTGGTCTGTACCTCTTATTTTGTTGTCTCTGTTTAAACTTTGTGTAAACATGGACCATTGCGGACGAGCAGATACCTGCCATTTCACTGGCTTATGAAACTGCCGAATCTGACATAATGAAGAGGAAGCCGCGCAACCCCGATTGTGATAAACTTGTGAACGAAAGGTTTAATATTTGTAAAAAATAAAACATGATCTCAACAGCTTTTTGATCCTTTAGACTTGCCAGAATCTCGAGTTGAAGTTGGAACGGACACGTTGATCGTAGTCAATTGATCCTGCCATTAATTATTGTAGCTTTTCGTGTATCTCTTGTATTGTAGTTACCTTTTATCAGCAGTAAATAGCTAGGATTGTAAGCATTGGCTCACGTGGACCTGACAGCTGAAACGAAGGGAATTTTTCTCTGCAGTCCGACTTGTTTTTATTGATTTTTTTAACGCTAATTTTTAAGGTTGCTGCCGAGGAAACTGTTACACTAGCAGATACAACAAAAGGAAAATCTACTTTTTGTATTATTTTTATTTTTAGATTTAAGTAGATGTTATCGATGAATTATTTCGATGAATTATTTTACGGCTTTCACAAAAGTTGGGAATTTTGAAAAGATTAGGGATTAAGATGATGAATAACAAGAATTTTGGTCAACAATAACATGTAGGGATTCTTACTTTGTATCCATTTATCACTTGAAGTTATTTTCTCTTGTTTAGAAAAATTCATGAATTTCGTACAAATTTGACGTCAAATATAATAGTACAATACGCTACTAGGGAGTAACGTAGGCAAATTACGCACTGTGCAATATTACCGATCAGGCGAAGCGAGATCGACATTTCACACAGTGTGTGTTTACCTACTTGAACTCCCGTGTTGCGTACACTCTTTTCCCGCACACCCCCGTAAAGGGGCACTGCTGGGCCCTCAGGAGGTGACATAGAACTGCATTTACTGTCTAAAATTGTAATGCCTCGTGTATATGCGATGTGCTGTTTTATCGCTCCAGTCGTCAGGCGAGAGCGGGAAAGACGCATCGCGCATTCGCGATGTAATTTACTCTCAGGCTGTCCATGTGATTTTGTGATCCCTGCTGGGAGGATGCACAGTGACCACTTTACGCGCAGCGTGGGGAAAAAATACATTCCTGAAAATATTCATTTAACAAAATGATTTGGAGTCTCATCAAATCTTTTTTGTGTTCTCCCAATAAATCATTTTATTTAAATCGTAATTTATTTTATCAGTTGTTTGCTCAAATTTGAAAAAAAAATGTTCTTTGTGTTGTTTAAAGTTAGAGAAAAAGATCGTGGTGCGATGGCAGAGGGAACGCGAATCTCTTATGAAATATTAACAATGAAGACCGCTTTCCCGATGTCATGGTTACTCCTGACGGAGAAAGTGTTATCATTCATTTTATGTTTGATTTTTTGTTTGTTAATTGTCATTATTGGCGTTGTTTTTACTAAATTTGTTGATAATGTGACGTTAGGTGCCGGCCATCTCGTTAGCCTACGAGGAAGCGGAGAGCGATATTATGAAGCGACAACCACGAAACCCGTTCACTGACAAGCTAGTTAACGAAAGGTAACACGATACCAAATCTTCAGGGTGGTTTTATTGCGCGATGAGGCTCTTGTGGAGGGATACCTATATTATTACAAGACTAACTTTTTCATTTCAAAGTACTACTTTTTTCTTATCGCTGGAGTTCTTTCTAATACCAACACACTTTATATGATTTTTCAAAGAAGCAAGAATTCATCAAAAAGAACTCTGACGATACAAAAGTAGTACTGACACGGCCTTACTCTAACACATTTATACAATACTTTGACTCTTTTGAGCGATGACTTTCGTTTTGATCTCTTACTTTTTAATTTCTGCTTCGGGTTTTCCGCGTTACACAGTCTATCTTTAATCTGTTTTCTGTACAAACATAACAATGATGTACTTTGTGTATCGCTAAAAGGATATATATTTATCGTTAGCTTTTGCCGAAATATGTTTGCATATACTCTTCGTCTGTCGTTCGCAATATTTATAGGACTATCAACCATATATTTTCGAATTCATCAAGTCACTTAACAAATTGCCTTAATTGGAAAAAACATCGTAAGCTCAAGTAACTATATATAGTTTATCTTCCTTCTGCAGTTTCGAGCAATTTGTTGAGTGGAAATAATGCTCGATATCACAATAACACTTACTAGTAGAGTAGGGAACTAAAGGTAAATGGGCTTATGCACGTGGAAAATATGGTTCCGGTGTATATCTACAGGCATAAAACAACTTTTTATTCTTGTCTTTTTTCTTTTTCCGCATCATCGCTCATTTTCATCATTCACACGTTGAGCGTAAATACGTACAAGGAAAATGAGTGATGATAATACCTCTTGCTGGGCGATTTTCCTTATTATTTTTTTTCTTTTGTGACGCTCACATCTATTTTCTTGTCACTGTTGTATCTTTCTTGCCTTTCCGCAAAAAAAAAAAATGCTGTCCATCATTTGTATGTCGTTGCCAAAGGTAAGCCGACTATATCATATATTAAGTTATTTATTTTTTCCCCTCTTGTTATCTCTATAGCAATTTCTGATCTTTAAACCTTCAATATCGCATTCCCTTTTACTTAATTTTTTTCTTCTTCTTCTTCTTCAACTATATATTGAAATTTTCTTGAGTTGAGTACTTTCTTTCATTTGGCCTTGCGATACTCATTCTTCTTATTCATTTTACTTTGAAATTTTCGCTTTACTTATCAAATCATTCGACATCATCCGAAGAACATTCGTGAAGGATTCGATCAAAAGCATAGTATTATTTATCATTATTACTATATAATATCGCATGTTCGTTTGTGTGACAACTGACATGATCGAATATTATTCATTTATCTTTCCATTTCTTATTTTTTTCTCATTGTCTATGTATCACTGTGTCTGTATATTCATGATAACACCTTCTCTTTTTCGCCTCATTATTATCATGATTAGTTTGCATCCCATTTTGCAATTATTCCAACAATAGGATAAAAAATTTGCATTTAATACTTATGCATATTAATCAATCTATTTCGTTTTTAGAATATTCTAATTCGACACCATACCAAATTTGCACTGAGAATTCTATCCATTCTATACATCATTTTCAACTATTTCTAAAGATAAAACTATCAATCATAAAATATATGTCACATTGTCATCAAAATCATAATCATCAGTATCATTTATAATTTTGGGAGAATGATAAAAAAATCGCAATAATTTTTCACGGCTTTTCTTTTCTGCTTTCTGCAGTTATCTCAAATGTACAAAAAGTTGAACCACCGTCATGCCTTGCTCATTTATTTTGTATCTCGTATGTGGACAATGCTAACAACATTCGATGTCTAGATGCCATCGATTATATCCTAGAAATGTAATAGCTCGAAAAATGATCAGACTTTTTCGAAAGCCATTTCATACAGTTACGCTCTTTAATATTCATTGGACGAAAAGAGTAGTAAAGGGTAAAAAATGAGAGAAGCACAGAAAAGAGAGATGAATCTTCTAATACATGTATATTTGACGACATCGTCGTTTACCTTGAACGCTGCGAATGAGGCTTACCAAGCTTGCTATGTACATATATATATAAGCATATATTTTGTCTGTCGATTACACTTTGATATCAATTTCTTTTCTGTGTGTCACTCAACATGTCTATTGTAAGCTTTCTTTATAGTATAAAATTATTGTGCGAAAATTATTGGACGTGTCATAATTAAATGTAATATCATTACTTTAATATTGAATATTGTGTCTAGATAAAACGTTGTCTTATTACATATTTATATTAGAATAGTCAATTTTTCATTACATGATTTGTATATTTAGAGAGAGTACATTATCGATGGTAGATTAATATTTTTAGTATACCATTTAGTACATATATTTATATTGTCTTTAATGATCACTTTTAAAAAAACAATGACACTTAGTAGTTATTTAAGTATGATTATATAATAATGTGAGGTATGGACATATATTGGATTTATTAAATCCGGATTGCAGCTTTCTTCTGTCCATATCTGACGCCTCTTCTGACGACTTTTGTGTCTCTTATTTCTCTTCTCTCAAACTAGAAACTGTGTGCCGCTAATTATATAAACTTCTTTATTACAAAAATTACTACCACCTAAATGACTGAGCTCTGAGGAAGACTTGCAATCAACGTAACACACCTTTTGGCCATGTGGATGCAACAAAATTTTGCTATAAAAATTTTTCTATTTTACATTTTCTGCATAACCATTTTAACTCAGATTTTCTTTGAATCAGATTATCCGTCTATCGTAGTCATATATATTCGTTTTAAATGACTGAAAATTTGTTATAGAATTTGACAAATTTTCACAATGCATTGATTGTTGTAGAAAACAACATATGGAATACCTTGAGACGGATATCTTTTTCACTTTTTTCCATTTTTATCACTATTTAGATTAGCGTTGGATAAAAAGTAGACTAATATTTGAAAAAGTAAATCCCCTTAAAGTGCTACTTTTTGTCTAAAAAACTTATCTGATTTTTTCTGATTGGACAAAGTAGTTTTAAAAGTATAAATAATTTTTTCAGTAATATTATTCATATGTAAAAATACGTGCCTATTTCTTTCTTAATCTACAATTTGAAAAATTGTCAGCTAGTCCTATAAATCATTAATCGAATCAACAGTATCTTGAGACAACATTGTATCAGTAATTTTTTCACTGTGCTTTATATCCTAACAATACTTTTATCGCTACTTTGTGTATCCACTTTAGAACCAAATGAAATAGTGAAATTCGCTTGTCACACACGTTGGACATTGCGTCAAAAAAAGGAATTAAATATTTAATAAAAGTTTAACCCTCGTCTTTATTCGGATAGTATATTACCTCTAATTTCTTTTGCACCTGTTTCTTTAACTATCTCTTTTTTCAATCTCATATTTTTCAGAGTAGAGAAAGTGGTATTTTATAACTCAAAGGAAATTTCAGAGACATCGATAATCTTCTATTGCTTACTCTTAAGTTTAGTTGTCTTTTGAAATTTTAGTCAGTGTTGGATTACTTTTCAATGCCAAAAATTAATGAGTATGATTTCCATCATCTAACTAAATTTTGAATATGAACAAATATTAAATCTAGGCATTATTAGAGAGAAAAAGAGAGAAAGAGAGAGAGAAAAAGAGAGAGATATTTGAAACGACAATGAAATTCAATCCAATACTGACAAGAATATTGAAGGTAGCATTTACGATTCAACTATTACGTAACAAACAAAAAGGCCTAAAAGAAGCTAAAAATTCACACACTACTTTTCTGCTGCTGTGACTTATCTGGGATCCGCAAATACTCAAGGAAGTCACTTGCTTCTCTACCTTTCTTTTATCCATTAACGTCCAGCCGGACACGTTTTGTACACCTCTCTTCATGCACTGACAGCTATTGCATTTCGAAGGAGAAAAATCACAATTGGCGTATTCTTATAGTTTGTAGTGTGCTCCTTTTGGTTGTACCACCCGAATTCTCGAAAAATTTCATTTTTATCGCAAAATGTAGTTTGAAACAAAAAGATCATGATTTTCAAAGATAAGTTTTGAAAAATCGAGTTTTCAGAGTTAACGGCGTGGAATTAACCTGGAACTGGTCTAAGTCGTTTTAAGAATCTTAAGAAGTATATCTGAATTTTTTCAAAATTATTTGAACAATTGCAAAACCAAAAAACTTTTAAAGAAAATTCAGACGTATTCTTTGGTCAATTCTAAGCACTTTTTGTTGGGCTATTTTGAAGTCTCTAACTTTATTGGTCAAACTGACTTCAACTCCCCATACTCTTTAAATTCAGACATCGCGTTCACGATCTAAACCGCTTCTAAGTGGATTCCAAGCTAGTTGAAAACTAGGTTTAACAAAAGAAATTTTCTTCGAAAATCGTGTTTTTTTTTTGTTTTAAACTGCATTTTTCGAGAATTGGAGTGGCACTACTGGCAAGAACATACTTCAATACTTCAAACTATAAGAATACACCAATTGTGACTGTATTCTCTTTCGAAATGCAATAACTGTCAGTGCGTGAAGAGAGGTGTACAAAACGTGTTCGGTTGGACGTTAATGGATTAACGTCCATGATTTTTCACTTTCCTTCTCTTTATATCTCTGCCCTACTTTTTTACTTTATATAGCTAAATTTAAACGTCATTTTTCGCCTATATACAGAACCAGACGACTACTTTTCTATAATAATTGTATTTGCCATTATATAATATAATATAATCTTGTGAGCGAATGCTGGAGTTAAAAACAAACAACGAATCAAAGCAACGGCGACTAATTCAAATTGAAAATGGAACTTTAGCGCTAATATTAGAGATTTTATTAGAAAGAAAGAACAAACAAATAGAATTGTCTATTACGAAATTGATTTTTCAATTGTGTGACTCGGGGTAATGCAGGTGCCGGCCATCTCGCTGGCCTACGAAGCACCGGAATCGGACATAATGAAACGGCAGCCCCGCGATCCTTACAGAGACAATCTTGTGAACAGAAGGTGGGTTACCCTTTACCAAGAAGCAAAAAAACCAACATCAAGCCCACAAAAGACAGTACTGTCATAGTTTTCACCTGCACTGTATTTTTCAACTAAATTTACAACACCTTATCTCTCCTTGTGCCTTTAACCTCCGATATCACTAATCATGATCTTTCCATTATCGACCGTCATTATTCGATTACACGACTATTCTCATGAGTGCACTTAGACCAGCTTTTGCGTAGTGTAATTCAAAGAGAAAAATGTTCTTTTATTTCTTAACAAGCTAATAATTTATTAGACACGGTTGTTTAACAAGGTACTTCCATAATTTTTAGTGTGCCTAATTCTTTCTTAATCTCACGTATGATTTCGCATTTGGTACAGCTAAACAATTAATAATTGCATTTTTTCACGTAGAAATTAGAGAAATACTTGAAATTTTCCATTCCACGACTGATAACATTTTTTTTATCGCTGATGTACGAAATAAATTTTCGAAGATCTTTGCGTGTGAGCTTTCACGTCCATGGCATCGTATAGCAAATTGAAAATTCAATAGTGAACGATGCTACGACGGTCTGCGCGACAATGCATCCGAAAAAGTTAGTTAGTGGCACAAAACGCACTTGAGTTTTCCTTTGACACACGTCACGTCCTCCCCTTCCACCTGTCGACCTGATTGTCGCACCCTAATGGACACATTTTTTAGTCTCCCTCACCAACCCTTGTCTACAATTTAGAGCATCCACCAAAGTCTATAGGACTTTAGCGAGTTAGTGTAGCACCGAATTCACACGTCCAAGTATGCACGCATAGAAAACTGACACTCATACACACACGCGCATACGTACATGACGTTTAGTTGGCATCGTCGCCTGATAGAGGACGAACGAGAGCCCGTGAATGCTGTGAATGCTTTGTAGTCGTCCACTTAGAGAGTTTTACGTAACGCACCGTATCTGTATGGACATGTGTATACATCTAAATGTGTTTTATGTACACGCCGATCATTCATTGTCGACATGTCCGTCGTGCGAGGATAATTGCTCTCCGGCTTGTCGCGAACGGAACCGCGAGGCCCGCGCTCGCGCGACGTCGCGACGTCAGGACGTTTCAAGATTGCGCAACGCGGCCCGAACACTCGTTCACTGTTATTGCTTTGCCTATTTTCTTTGTTTTTTTCATTTGCAAGCGAAAGAAGGACTTGGCGCGCGCGCGATAGTAGTCGCCAGGACGAATTCTCTCCGTACGGTCAAGGTCCATCTCGAGGGCGGAAAATCGATGTCGCCGCTGCAGCCGCCACTGCCGGACGGTCGTGCCAGGATCGTCGCGTTTTCGAATGCTTCTCTCGCTCCGAGGCGACGTTCTTCGTAGCTGAATTTGACTGTCTACAACGCTTTAGCCAATTACTTGTCTCCTTGCCACCGAAGCTTTGTTTTCTTTGGCTTTTGCGAAGACGAAGAAACGTCGAGTGATCCTTCTGCATTACACAGCTTTGATCTGTGCGCCGATCTAGCTTCTCTTTGTTTTTGCTTGTTTCTGTTGCCGCTTATCGTCTCTTCCATCTTGTACGTCTGTCGGGACGAATTTTTCATGGCGCTCGATAATCTGCCGAAGGAGCCGTGAAAAGTTCGTCGAAAGCATGCGAAAAGAGAACAACGGCAAAGTTGTCGGTGTGGCATGCTACGTGCACATGAACAATGACTAAGAAAAAAGTAAAAGAATGGTGCTCATGTCGTTGGTAAGTAAATACCTCCAAAGCTGACTTTGGATGACCGTTTGACGCAATAGCGGACTCTCCTTTTCAAAGCTTTTTTCTGTATCTTTTTTACTAACAAGCCACTCGATCTGACTTAGGCATTATATAATGAGCGTCTTTAAAAAGAAAAACTTGAGCCTCTTAGTTGATTAATACGTAGCCCTTTGATGATGCTGTTGACTCTCGTCGAGCATCTTAATCTTTGAGAAAATAGGAAAAAAATTGTACGTCAAATAGAGCATGCTTCGAGAGTCACAGATTAGAAAGAGGAACAAGTCCGAGTGAGTATTGTGCGATTAACGCTTGTAATTATTGTTGCTGCTTAGGCTTATCTCGATGGCATACGGACAGATCGGCATGATCCAAGCTGCGGCCGGATTCTTCGTCTACTTCGTGATCATGGCTGAGAACGGCTTTCTGCCATTGTATCTCTTTGGCATCCGCAAGAAATGGGACTCCAAGGCTATCAACGATTTGCAGGACAGCTACGGTCAGGAGTGGGTGAGTATTGCGGGAACGGAATGGTGCCGTTACGCTCGACCGTAATGCCGACCGTGTATATTCTCCATATTAATGCAGACCTACCGAGACCGCAAGACGCTGGAATTCACCTGCCACACGGCTTTCTTCGTGTCGATTGTCATCGTGCAGTGGGCCGACTTGATTGTCTGCAAGACCCGTCGTAATTCTATCATCCACCAGGGCATGAGAAACTGGGCCCTCAACTTCGGTCTCGTCTTCGAAACCGCCCTCGCCGCGTTCCTAAGCTACACGCCCGGTATGGACAAGGGTCTCAGAATGTTCCCGCTCAAGTGAGTATACCATATAGCGTCGCGAACAGCCGCCGGCCTGCCGAACGACCCGACTAATTATCCGCCTTTTGTCTTCTAGATTCGTTTGGTGGCTACCGGCCATTCCCTTCATGCTCGCCATTTTCATCTACGACGAGACGAGACGATTCTACTTGCGCCGAAATCCAGGCGGCTGGCTCGAGCAAGAAACTTACTACTAGACAGGCAACACGCTGATTGCGCGCGCAAGAGAAAGAGCCGACAGACGCATACCCACACAGAACGAGAAAAAAATTCATATTTTACGAGTTTTACCATCGAAACTATCGACAGCAACAGCAGTTACAACCACCACCACCACCACCACCGTCATCATTATTATTATTGTCACCACCACCATCACAACTAAATACCACACCCAGCAAGACAGTTATATACAAAAAAACCAACATCGCCATCCGCCACCGCCGCGCAACCACAAAACTACGATGATAATAATATATCGATAACAATAATCAGTCAGTCACACATTTTACACGAAAATAAAAAAAAAAGCGCAAGCAGCAGTTTACGTCACATAGATCTTATCTATCTGTTCGATGGGCCATTCACAAGTGGACACAAATAATTATTATTCATTAAAGGAGAAAAGAAAAATAATTACAAAAAAATAATCGCTAACGATAATAGCTCAGCTCGCTTGGCTTTAGATTCTATATCTTCATCGATTATTAAGCAAAGAGAAAACAAAGTAAATACACTAAAAAGACGCAACACAATACTAACGACACGACGACGACCTGGTCGTCGCTGAGTTTTCTCCTCGACGACGACGCCGCCGATCGAGAACAATACACTAGAGCGCTGAGTATTATTAATAATATTATGTAAAAAACTAACAGAGAAAAAATGTGAGAAAAATTTAAAAAAAAATGAAACAAATGATTGTGTGTAGGGTATGCGAATCTCGTCGTTTCTACGCTCTTTCAACGGGGTGAAAATAATAGCGACTCGCAGTGTGATCTCCTTGAATCTTCGGCTCAAACTAAACTCCGTGGAAGAGACGTTGGAACGATGAACCACGTGCGAGTGAGAAAACAAAACAAAACAAGTGTATGTACGAGCGAACGAATGCAAGAATAAAAGATTGCGAGTAGAAAAGGCCTAAAATGCCGAGGCGTGTGGCTAAACAGAGTAGCGAACAAAAACAAAATAAAATAAAACAAGTAGTTGAGCATATTTACAAGTAAGAGCTAACAAAAACATAGACAACTCGAAATGTTGATTTTGAACACTGGAGTCGATGAGTAGAGCAACAAAAATCGAGAACACAAGAAAAAGAGAATTAAATATAATGAAGAAACAAACGAACAAACATATATAGAACGATTCGCAATATTGGACTCGATCTCAAGCCCGGCGAAATGTGCGAGTACGACGTGTTCTATATATTCCCCGATGCGCGTGTTGCCATGGGATTATGTAACGATATATAAATAATAATAAATTGAAGACACACAAATACCACATAGGCACCTCTGGAAAACAAAGGGCTTGCGACGCATTGTGCGTTGCACGCATTTCCATGATAATAAATGATATTAAACGAGTATACAAGGACGACGGATGGAAGCTTTCAAATATATCACGCAGAGTTAGAAGAGCAGAAGAGTCACACGAGGATTGGGAGTCAACGGCACTGATGACAATTGTACACGTAGAAACGTCTTGTGATACCGAAAATCTTAGACGAGAAATAAATAAGTGAAATATGAAAAGGATCTTATAATTATTAATTAAAAAAAGTGATTAATAGAATATCGCGAAGACGAGACGTTTAGTTTCATCATCGCGATGTGACATCAACTGATTCTTCATAGATAAACTTATTAATTACAATATGATAGAAAATGGCATGCCCTATAGTTGAAGAAAAATCGACAGGTGTTCTAAGTAATGCCGAAGAAAGAATCTAACAAAAATTAGCAAAACAAAGGATATCGCAGTATTGATTATTAATTATTAATTAATTAAGGATGACGGATAATTAAGGAGAAGAAAAGTGAATTCAAGTATAATGTTGTTCGGTTCGAGTTTTATCCAAGTAGCTAATGCATCAGATCGCAATGCATATATTCAAATAGTTAAATCTTTGTTGGAGTTCTTATACTGGAATGTCACGGACTAGATAGAGAGGAGCGGGAACGGAGCGATGTGTTTTTTACACGGCGAAGGATCGACGGGCGGAGTAGATTGCGGATCAAGATACGGAAGATGAAACGAGGAACGGACGACGACGAAGAAGACGAAGTTGGATAGTATATAAATATTTAGCGCTTAAACAAACATCATTACCACCTAAGGAGGATTTCATTAAATTAAATAATAAAAGGAAAAAATGATGAGAAAAAGAGACAAAAATACGTTATTTAATTAATGCGCGAGCAAATCCCAAAATGAAAACTATGTGTTACCGAGGCGGAGTGTGTTTGAGCAAACAAAAAAAATAATTATTTAGTAGAAAAAAATACAAAAAAATAATTAAAGAGTATAACAGAGCAGGAGTATAGTGATAAAAGATGTTATTGATTATGAGTAACGATATTACGAGAAAAAACACGTTTAATGGTCAAATTGTAATTACAGCATGCGATGGTAGAAACATTTGAAAAAATAAAATAAATTTCAAGAATTTCAAAAAGTAGAAGCAAATCAAAATTGCGCGGTACGAGATCGTTTAATGCAAATTACTCTACAACAGTAAGATTTCAAACAAAACTAATCCTTACAAAGTTTAACGCTGTTTTAGACCGAAACGAAAGATTGCGAGACCAAAATTGAATAAAGCAACTAGCATTTAAAGAGGAAAAAATCCACACACATTCTTTATGTAGGTGAAACAAAAAAAAATTAAAAATGAAAAGATATTTGAAATCAATGCTAAACGTAAAGATTAACAGCAGTACATGCATTCTCTCTTAGTTTTCCATTTTTCCATAGTTTTAAACGCGGAAATGCAAACAAACTTATCAGCTTGCTATGAATATATAAATTGAAATATTATACACCTAAACCCCCGGTATGCAGAACGCCCTGTCGCAGCGACTTGCCACAGCGCATCACAATACAACAGAATCCCCAATTCGAATGATGCTCTTCAACTCTGATAACGTGAATATAAGCTATGCGTACGAACGGACAAGTGTAAAGTCTCGAATACTCGCAAAGTTACCCAAAGTGTTCAATAAAGATTAGACAAAAAAAGTATCGACATCGAGGTATGTGTACAGAGGTACGTTTTTCCATCAACCAGAGAACGCGAACAAAAATATATATATATATGTATATGTACTTCGTGGTCGCGACGAGAAACTTCTGAGAAAGAAGCAGCGCCGATGCGCCGATTGCTGATCTATTGAAAATCGGCGCACCGAAGCGCGACGGTCGTCGCAACAGCGAAGTCTTGGCTATGTTTTTTCTCGGCGAATTCGGCGCGAAGGGCGAGCAAAGTCGCGCACGACTGTCGGTCGCACCTCCAAAACGCGACCGCGGACAAGCTTCCTTCGCACTCGTGAACTTCATCCTTCCGTTTTTCTTCTTCGGGTCTCAACGAATCGCGCACACGCGCTTGCGTCAACGTGGCAACGAACGGCGCGCGCGTGTCCAGCATTGAGTTCTTTTTGTATCGAATAAAGCAGCTGCCTGAAGATCCCGTGGTTGTCGACGCACAGGGTGTTCCGTGACCCGGGGCCTTCCTCACCAAGAAAAAAATCAATCCCCCCCCCATCCATCAGCTCTACCTATATTCTACTAATGTAGGTCGAGCTCAACAAAAATAATACTTTACCGTCGTGCGCCGCCTCTCACTTTAGGCTAATTATTTAAAAGGACAACATTAACGATATAATGAATAATAATTATTATGATAATTATGATAACATTAATAATAATAATAATGATAATATAATACATGTTACAGTAAGATATTATTAGATGTAATTATTATATATGGTTTAGTATAGATCGTGTTGTTGAAGAAAAAAAAGAAAAAACAAAGTATATAATAAGATGACGAAAAAGAGCTAACGAGTGTAACGAGAAGTGAAACGGGAGCGCGACGGAAGAACAATAAAATAACAGCGACACAAAAAAAAGTCAACGAGATAATAGAAAGCGTCGAGAAGGTAGCGGTTCGATTGGATTACTGGTCTAAGACCAGTTCAATGAAAGGAAAAGATAATTGTCAGGGCGGCGGACTGAGCGGCATGACGAGACGCGCAAAATTGGCTCCATGCACGATGACTTTTCACGGGAACTAATCAATGTTTGTTTCTTTATTGTTGCGAACACTCATGCGACTTGATTGCTTTTACCGGAATGCATAATACTCATGCGTTTTCAACTTTGTTTTATTTGATTCCTCCAAGTCTTCTTATTTTTTTGTACTTTTCTATTGCATTATATTTTTTATACAGAATTCATGGCGCGCCGTTAATTTCCGCATGCAAAGTCAGTAAACGTAATAAGAGATGGACTATGGGGGATCGTCGAGGAAAATGTATGAGCTTGTCGTCGCGGGAAATCGACGGACGATAATGGGCCGATAAGACGCGACGAAAATAATAAAACAAAAAAACTTTTAAAGAAGTTCGAGCTGCGAAGTATAATCTCGAGCGCGAGAGATTGTCTTTTTTTCATTACTCCAGCGTTGTTGCTTTTACTCAGAAACGCAACCTAAGCTTTATGTAGGCAAATAAATGTAACATACGCGCTGTATGCGACTTAATATCCATTGTTGTTACACGACACAGACACGAGAATCGAAATATCAAATCACGCGTACGTGCACACACATTGAAACACACAAAGTATACGTGTTAGCGGTGTTATATCAATGTACAACTATACGGTGTGTCGAATCAAGAGGAGAGGAAGAAAAAGCAACGTCTCGCGCTCGGCGGACGAAAAATCTAAACGTTTAAAGTGTCGAGACCCGCGCAGCCCGCCGGGATGAGAGTAAATAAAAACGAAAAAAAACTAGATAACAAAGGGAGAGGAGCAAGAAAAAATTGAATAATGTTTTATTAATATTGTACATATTTTAAATAATTGAAAGAACGAAACGGACAGAATATCGTGCGCGATCGGGTACACGGCTGCGAGGCAGCGCTCCCTCGCACTTTTTTGCGTTTTTCATTTTTTAGCACCGAAATATATAATACATTGATAAATACGGGACGAGAAATTTTGCGAGAAAAAGTTGAACGTTGATATCTAAATACACGATACACATGATGATAGACATTTGGGATGTAACGCACTCGGTTGTGGCACTTGTTGAAGTTTATTTTTTTTTGCAAAGTCGAGCACGGGTGGCTTTTGACAATAAGGGCATTCGAAAATCAGCGAATTTGTTAAATGACCCGCAAATTTATTCGCCATTGTTGTTACGAGGTCGTACATACGTTGTGAATTTCAAATCAACGCAATTTACTCTACTTCACTATTCAACAGTTTGCTGAATTGGTATTAGCTTTGCTTTCAATCAATCGCTGATTGTAATACAACGATGCCCTTATTCAAAAAGTCAAGTAATGTTGTTCGTTCAGAGGACAATTGTGACAAGTTGAAAAACAGAAACACATCGACTACAAGATTGAATAACATAAATATGGGATTAAGAAAAACGCGAAGAGTGGCATTTATATCGACAACATAGCGAATGGAAAAAACAAATGCAAACATAAAAAAAGTACGCGAGGCGCGCGCGATGGAGAATGATCATTCGGAATGCGAGAGAGCGAGAAAACGGATAACAATAAAGAAAAAAAAACACGTACATTACTCTATATCCGAACTCTTGTAATTTCTGATTGACGATTTTTTTCGTATGATTATTATATCGATAAGTTCTGTTTTCACACGCGAATAAATTAAGAGTAAAAAATATGAAAAAAGAATAAAATGAGAGACATTGTCCAACCCAAGTGTCATTACTTTTGATGTTAAATAAAAAATACATAATTAATAGAGGCCTCTGTTCTTCGATGAGCTTTTACACAAACCCTCACTCAGCACACGCTCTTGTTTGTTTTTTTATTTTGGGCTTTGTTTTCTTATTTCTTTTGTGCCGGAAAAACGAGGTTACATCTAGGGCTGAAAAACAAGACAGTAAGTATTTCAAGTTTTCATTTTTATTACGAAAATACTCTTACAACTCTAAAAATGTTGGAGCTCCATTTAGCTTTTTATTTTAACGTATAAAATCAATTATTAGTACAGAATTGCAGTCTTCAGTAAAGCATTCTTTTTTTAAGTATAACATTAAATATCAAACGTTTTGACAACAAAGTAACCATTGTAAAATGATTCATTATTTTAACGAATTTTCTTGTTGCAAACAGCAACGAAGATTACAAATTTATGAAAAAGTCTAAAGAATCATAAATGAATACTAGCAGAAACAAGCAGACATAATATCACAAACTTCAGCTATAACCTTTTTATAAACAATAACTTTAATATAACTTTTCAATTATCAATTATTTGTTCCTGTACTTTTTGTAATTAGGTGTGATGAGCCATTCGCAAAAATCTTCACAAGATAATTTCATTATGCTAAGTCATAGCAATACTTATTTGAATTTTCAATTAAAAATTATCCAGCGTAGAAATATTATAATGATAATTTATTCTGAAATTGAGTTTTCTAACTGAACACGATCTTTCTTCAAATTTTTCTTTCTTATTCTCTGGATATGCTTTATTAATTTTCCTGAATTTTTAAGATCTTCGTATTGAGAAACAAGATTTGTAAGCCGTTTTTCAGCTGAAATTAATAAATACAAATAATGAAATAACAAATTTTTTGAATTATTTAATACTGCTAAGAGATACTTACATTTTTTCTTATACTTTGGTTTTTCACCACTTCTTATAGCAGAAAGTATTTCTTGTTTCTCTTCTTTTTGTTTCATTTCCTTCTCAGATTTTTTCTTTTCTTCTCTAATTTGATTTTCCAGCCTTTGAATAAGATATTTAATTTTCTTGATTTGCTTGGGATCCTCTTCAGTTTGCAATTCTTTTTTTAAACTTTTCAAGTCATTTTGTTTAATTTCGCTCAGAAATGAATATGCATTTTTAAAAGCTTTTTCATCATATGTACCACACAAACTGTCAAATCTAGGGTCTCTTGGTTCTTTCTTTTTTACAGGTACTACTTCTCGAAATCTTGTAACCTGTCTTTTTGATGATTCCTCTCTAGGTCTATTTTTATTTTCTCTCTTGAATTTTATCAACTTAGATTTTTTTGCCCCAAACATTGTTGCATTGTAAACTTTCGTGCCTAATTTCTCCTTAAGTTTTTGTAAATCTGCAAAACTCATCTGAGACAACTCTTTTTTAATTTGTGCCTAAAAATATAAAATTGCATTCAATCAAACACACAATTAATGCATTATAATACTTAGAATATTTCTAATAAATTAATAAAATATTTAAAAAACATTCTAAAATAATAAATATAAACAGATTGACCAAACATAACCTTACATTTCTAAAAAATAGTGATGTTCTAAAATAAAACAATTTTCCAATTATTCCTACCTGATCCTTGTCTTCATTAAGTAATGCATCTTCTTCGTCACTGCTCATTTTAATAATTGAATAATATCTAGCAATATTTTAAACTATAGTAGAGTTCGTTGATACAATAGTCATGAGCATGTTCGTTGTTTTGACTTGGCTTATTTGGCGGACTTGGCCAAAGATCGAGAGATCATCTTTGTTGACTATGGCACCTATGGCTCTTTCCACTATAAAAATTTAACTGACTCAACTCTCACCAAACTGGATGATCGAGTTCGACAAGATCGAGATAATCGCAAGTGTTATTCAATATATATTTTTTAGATTAAAATTGCTAAAACATAAAATATTCTGAAGATATAAAACAAATCAGTTTTAAATTTCAAAAAAAAACTAATAAAAATAAAAATTAGGTTTGAATAATTTCTCAGTGGTGACTGTAATCCATACCACCTGATTTCAAGGTCATGGTCAACATCTCAATTTAAATGAACGTTAATCGTAGTTCAATTCAAAGATATTTTATTTTTCATCAAAACACATTGATTTTGAAAAATAACGCCAAATAATAAAATTAATCAAACACAATAAAAATAATGTATTTTGGTAAGGGGTGAAATTTGTGACTGTACGGCACTGATTTAGAAACTTCGTTTATTGGTCGCGTGCAGCACTGGTCGCGTGGGTCGCCGAAGCAGCAGCACGCTTGTAGTCACAGATTTCTAGCTGGTAAAATGGCGGGTGTGCTCTTCGAGGATATTTTCAATGTAAAAGATATTGATCCAGAGGGAAAAAAATTCGATCGAGGTAAGTTTATTGAATATTACTAATTGTCTTGTATTGTACATTATATTATTCCCGCATGAGTCAGCGTTGATTTGCAAAAAAAGTAGTAAGAATCTGACGGTCGCCAACCTCCAAAAATTGCCGGCAAACACGTGCCGCAGCGTTACCGATTCAAAGATCGCGTCTGTAGGGTCCTGAAATTCATTGGATAGGTTAGGTGCTCACTTCTGCCATTGTAAGTTTCATTTTAAATTGAATATTTAATTAGTTTTGTTATTTAAATTTGAACTACAGGAACGAACGAAAGAACAATAAAAAACTTATTATGATCTAGAAAGACGAGTAAGATTTAGTATTTTGAAGTGTAATTAGTGATTAGTTGTTAGAGCGTCTTTTTGTTGTTGAACGTATTTTAGTAGTTAATTTTATTATGCAATAACGTGAATGATTATTCATGAGTAATTTTATTACAAACATTAGTGATACAAAAATTTGAATTTAGGAAATTTTGAATTATTTGTAAAATATAATTGAATAGTGTAGTATTTAAAAGATACCTTTCTAAAATATTGTATTTCAATAATTTAATAATATTTTATTACATAACATATATTTTCTTAACTGTTGAAATATAATTATATATAGGCATACTCCAGAGTCTACAATATTAATTGATTTTTATCTACATGTAAATTCGCATTGTTTCTGCTCGGAGAAGCGTATCAATTTCTAGAAACTCTTTTTTTCGTCTTATAATTTTCAGTGTCAATACCATAACTGTAATGCGAAAGAAAATACGTTGTCAAAGCTGTAAAATGAAAAAAAAAAAAAAAAAAAAAGAACGTGCAAAAAAGCAAAAAGAAAATTATTCAAATTTCAAACGTACACATAACAGTAACGTGTTAATGGGTCGAGTAAACGATTGCTGCGTTCAAACGGGCCGTGGAAATAAGACTCGCGCACACGAGCGAAAATTTATTGTGTCGAAAAAGCAATAAAGATTATGCGAGCGCGGGGAATAGTGCAGCGCGAGCGAATGGCTTCGGAATTACGGCTTAGCATCGTGCGCGCAGAGGTAAGAAACTCGAGCGACGGCAATTATTAGTTGGATGCTTATGCATATATATTGTCAGTGTCGAGGTTGCGCAACACCCGATGTCGACGTCGCATTAGTTATCGTTACAACCTCGAAGCCGTTTGTCGTCTTTTTCCGTATGCCGCGTTGCTAATCCGTGCTGAGAGATGAAAACTCGCCACACGTCGTGTGGCGACACGTACAAGATAATTAATGTCCACGGGATCCTTCATTTTCCTTGGTCGCAGTTTTACGCGTTTTTTTCATCATCTGCGGCAGTAGGCATTTGAATTTGAGAGAAAAAGTGGAACTACTTTGGATTGTAAAAAGAGTTTATACTTGTTTTGTTATTTGGTCGTGCTCGTAGGCGGAGAAACGGTGGGTCGTAGGTAATAGATTGATATTGATTAGACTTTTTTCAATTGGGCGACAATATCACAGTTTATGTCTAGATAGACTGCCTGGTAAAATTTCCTTATCGGAAGTTGAATCCCTGTCGAATAAAATGTTGATTCGGCCGGTAACCTAATTATTGTTGCTTTCGCTATTTACATTGAGATGCGGTGAAAGAGCAATTGCATTAATATTCCATACGGAATTCTTTTAACGTTTCATATTGCATTTTGCATTGCCGCTGGCAAATTGAATTATTTTCCTTTTATAAACGCCGTGTGATTGATCGTTTATTGATTATTCATATTATTCGCTGGAGCCAGAGTCCACTAGCTCGTCGCCGGCATTATTCCGAGAATTTTTCAATTTTCAACACGAGATCCTACTTGATTGAAGCATCAATCTCTCACTGGATGATTTCCATTTCTAACAGATTTATCTTCGAACGGCATTTCCGACTAGCAACGTCCCACTGAAAATACCATTTCCGTTCCTGCAGTACCTCTCGAGTAATGCAAAAATGAGCATAAGAACAATCAGCCCTCGTAACTTTGGTTTTTAGCAACGAAAAAAAATCTCGCTCTTCTCGGCAGCAGTGCGTTCCTCGAAAATTGTCCCAAACGATAAAGCGAAAAAAAAGAGATAGCAGAAGCGTTCGTAAGTGCTATAAAACGAGTGGTTGTGTCGGTGAGGCAGATGGTGTAGAATAAAAATTGACGAGCGAGCGAGCACGAGTTTTGCAGAAAAAGAAAGTACAAGTGAGAGGGAGAAGAAATAAAAAAAGGAGAGAGAGAGAGAGAGAGAGAGAGAATCCCCGGCAAGAAGTAGGGGAAACAGCGGCAGCAGCGGCAGCTCGTCGAGAGGTCGGTCGATGCAGCGTCCCAGGGTGGATGGTAGGCAGAGCAGAGTGGGGTTGCCTTAGATCCTGGCTCGGAGCGATGGTGGGGTCGACACGTGCGCGCGCGCTGGCCCGCGAGGCGGGCGCCCCTTGTTCTCTGCTGCTGCAAGAGGGGTGCGCGTGCGTACGCACGCGGTCAAGGTCGAGCTGGCTGCGCTCAAGGTCAAGCCTTTTTCCCTAAGCGCGGCGCTATCGACGCGCGCCCCGGCGAGCTTTCGTTGTTCGGCGCGCCGCGCGCACCAGCTGCAGCGCCGCTCGGTCTATCAATAGCCCGATATATTTGCGATTTGCCGCTGCTGGAGCCTCTTGCATTCCTCCTTCGTCATCGTCGAGAATAGACTCTCCGAACGAGGCTGGCTGCGCTGCCGCGCGCATCCTCGGCCGACGTTCTCGAGGGCGCGCGGCTCGGCGGTGAGCAAGGGACCGCCGCCCGACGTGGCTTTCGTCGTTCTCCCAACTTTGCGAAACGCGAACGCGGAGTGTCGAACGCTTGACTCCGACGCTCGCGCGTAAGGTTTCGTGTTTTTGTTCTTTCGCTGCTGCACGCTTGGCGTTCCCGATGCGAAGCAGCTGGTGCCACACGCGAACCTGCGCGATCCACGCTCTTCGGCTTTGCTCTGCGCGTCTTGCTCAAGGTCATTTCCGAACTCGCGTGCGCGGGCCGATCAATTGCCTATTGGATATTGGACCTTGAACGCTGCTCTCGACTTGGCCTCCTCGCGATCGATCAGCCCGTGCAAATTGCGTCCCCGCGGCCTTGAGCTCCAGCTCGGGCTCGGGAGCTCGGCCCGACAGCCAAGCCGGCTGGGCGATTCTCGAACGACAGTCTCGGCTTTGAATGCTCGACGCCATCGTCGACTGTCTTTCCACTTGATTGCGAATTGCTGCTCGACGACGAATGCTCGCTGTTACTTTTCAGGACTTGACTTTTCATCTTGTTCGCGAGAGTTTCGAGTCAAGCTGCCGTGGAACCCCTTTAAAACGCTTTGCCAAGAGGCAGCCGAACCAGGTGGGATTTGGCAATGCTCGGATTGGTCGGGCTGGCGAGTGCATAGCGCCGAGATCAAGTTTGCGGATTATCAAGTTTTTCGGCAGGATCGTCTGCGCACTATGCGAGCTTCTCTTCCGTCTCTGGGCTTCGGAAGTTGATTCCGAGCCACCGACGTTGCCAGCCAAACTTCGTAGAGTCGGGCAGAGGGAAGCGAGGAGACGCGCACGTGTACGGTTTTCGGGGAAGCACAGGTGAGCCTCGACCGTTGCGCGTTTCTTTTTACGAGCCCCCGTGCGTCCCGTAATTGGACGCTTTGATGTACGTCGGATTGCATAAAATCGCGCATCTCCTTTGTCTCCACCCCCCCCCCCCCCCCCCCCCCCCCACCATCCCACCCTCTCTCTTTCTCTCTTTGGCTGTCGATTAGCGAGCGAGAAGCAGAAGCTTCGCATCAGAAGCGTCTCCGGTTTCATCTCCCGCGCGACGGCGATGGTGGCGCACGCGCGGGTTCCGGGTGCCGGCATTGCATCTCTCGCGCGCATTGTTTCGGCCCCTTTCGCTGCCGTTGAAGGTCGTCGCGGCTCTCTCTTTCTCTCGCGATGAATTTTGTGGCTTTGCCGTCAGCGACGAGGCGACGCTCGGCTGTACGCTGTGCCCATCGAGGCAGCCTTGGCGAGACGAGCGTTAGAGCCAATGTGGGGTCACGTACGTTCTTTTAAGTCGATAAGGCGTCTTCGAGTCTCGATTCGCTCGGAACGCCCCGAATAACGTTGGCTCTCTCACGGCTGATCGCACCCGATGAGATAGATGTAAGCGCGCGCCTCGATATCGCGCACTAGTAGTGCTCGTCGAGGGCCGCGCGACGCGCCGAATCGATTTGACGTTTTCAGTTCCATCGGAAGCGGCCCTTTGTGCTTTGGCGCGCCCGCTGCCACGTAGGACGCGCCGAACAAAGGTGGCTCGGGAGAAAGAGAGAGAGAGAGAGAGAGAGAGAAAAATTGGACTCGAGAGTGCGTGCGCGCGCGTGTGTGCCGAGGCAGAGAGAAACGGACACGTGCGCGCTGCGCGAATTGGCAACAGCGCGAGGACACGTGGCG